GGGGGGGGGGGGGGGGGCAAAATGTAGCAGAGTTGGAATTGTAGTACGCAATGCGACAAGGCATGATATTCAGCATTCGTACAGTTCTTGGTCGCCTCCAACTTGTTCAGTCAGTGGTCCCAATAGATGTCAAATTAAAGGACAATCCCTCGACACGTACTGTACTATCCGATAAAAAAACAATGAATCACGTGATTGAAAGAGCAGCACAATACAAGATAATTCACCAGTGAATTTACCAGGACACCTGAAAAATTTAGATCTAGGCGGCTTGACTGAAGAACAGAGAAACTTGGCGTCAAAATTGCTGGTTGAACAAGCTGATGCGTTTGCTCATGACGATGATGACGTTGGTCATATTCCTAATCTGCAAATAAACATTCAGTTCAATGATACTAAACCTGTCCAAAAGAACTACGTTGCCGTGCCTCGACCTCTCTACCTGGAGGTGAAGGCATACATTGAAGACCTAATAAATCGAAATTTTATCCGTAAGTCCAATTCACCAAACAGCTCACCCGTAGTTTGCGTGAGGAAAAAAGACCAAACTTTAAGTCTGTGTGTTGATTTTCGCGAACTGAACAGGAAAACGCACATAGACCGTCACCCCATCTCGAGAATTCAAGAAACTGTTGACAATCTTCGAGGGAATTCGTGGTTCTCCGTACTTGACCAAGGGAAAGCTTACCCCCTCACAGCATTCATCACACCTTGAGGATTGTACAAGCGGATCCGCATCCCATTTGGCCTTTCCAACGCCCCCAGCTTCTTTTCAGCGTTTTATGGAGTCTTGTTTAGGTGACCTGACTTCCGAGATGAAATCTGTATTCCATATCTTGATGATATTATAGTTTTTAGTTCTAATTTTAACGACCATATTGAACACTTACGAAAAGTCTTATGGAACATGGTGTTAAATTAAAACCCAAAAAGTGCAATATGTTTAAGAGAGAAGTTGTTTTCCTGGGGGCGAGTAGTCTATGGCGAAGGGTACAAACTTTACCCTTCAACTATTGCCCAAAATTTACGCCTCAAAGATACACAACCTAAGACGGTAAACGAAGTTCGAAAGTTAATGGGATTCTTGAACTATTATCGGCGGTATATTGTCAATTTCTCAAGGATTGCCGCCAAGCCGATTTACGATCCCGTGAAGGTGTCGGAAAATGACTCGAAGAACAAGCGTGGTAAACCAGTGGCTAACCATCCAGTTTCGTGTACGTCGACTCACCAATCGGTGTTGGAAGTACTTATCGAATGTCTTGTGAGTGCTCCAGTCATGGCATATCCTGACCCTCACAGCCCATATGTCCTTTACAAGAATGCATCAGAGAATGGACTAGGTGCAGTACTTTACCAAGAGCAGGATGATGTCTTACGTGTTATTGCTTACGGTTCACGAACCCCAACACCAGCAGAGAAAAACTACCACCTACATTCTGGTAAACTAGAGGTCCTTGCGTTGAAGTGGGCTATCTGTGAACAATTTAGAGACTACCTGTATTATTCTCCAAGTTTTGTCGTATACTCTGATAATAATCCGTTAACGTACGTCCTATCAACTGCCAAACAGAATGCAATGGCTTTCGCTGGATTGGAGACTTAGCTGATTTCAACTTTGCAATACGTTATCGCCCTGGAAAGATGAATACCGACGCAGATACTCTCTTTAGAGTACCTGAACACATGAGTGAATACATGGATTCGTGCACTGCGGAAACCTGCCAAGACGAACTACGAGTCATCGCCCAGTCGATACAGTTGGAAGACAAAGGTAAAGTGATTTGGGTCACATCTCGCACCCATAATTACACTGGGTTGCATGGAGGTGATCCACAATCAATAGCTAGCAGTACTCCACAGTTCAACCTTAGTGACATTCGACAAGCTCAGCTTAAAGATAATGTTATTGGAAAAGTTTATTCGTTTGTCAACAGAAAACAGCGACCAACTTCCTCCCAGAGAGCAGCAGAATCACCCGATACTAAACTCCTACTTCACGAATGGCCAAAGCTGTTTATTGATAAAGACGGTGTTGTACGAAGACAGAACAACTCATACGATCAGGTTGTGCTTCCTAGACCATACCATCCAATGGCTCACCTTGGATCTGAGCACGTCCTACGTTTGGCTCGAGATCGGTTCTACTGGCCTTGGATGCAGAGTGATGTGGAACACTACGTACGGAATATCTGTCGCTGTGTTAAGCAAAGACCCCCAAGACTGAAGACCAGAGCACCATTACAACCTGTAATCACTACCGCCACATTCGAGTTGGTTTTTATCGATATCGTCCACCTTGAAAAGTCCAGTGGAGGGTACGATTATATCCTTGTGATTGTTGATCACTTCAGCAGGTATGCACAAGCCTACCCAACCCGAAACAAAGTGGCAGTGACTATGGCTGAAAAGTTGTACAACGACTACATCCTTCGCTTTGGGTTTCCAGCCAAAATCCATCATGATCAAGGTGGAGAATACGAGAACAAACTACTCAAAACCCTGGAAGTATTTTGCGGCATTGGTTATTGTCGTACCACACCTTATCACCCTTAAGGAAACGGAGAGGTAGAACTGTTTAACAGAACACTCCTAGATATGCTTCGAACAATTCCCGAAAACGAGAAATCACGTTGGAAAGATCACGTTAACAAAGTGGTGCATGCATACAACTGTACTCGCAATGACACTACTGGATTCTCCTCCTTTTATTTACTCTTTAGGCGACACCCTCGCTTACCCATTGATCTCATTTTCCAAACCCAAACACCATCAACAAAACAAGAATACCCCCGGTATGTAAAACATCGGAGAGCTGCAATGGAAGAAGCGTATCGCATGGCTCAGGACAAGCGAAACGCTCATATTATCGATGGGTTTGCAGTTCTGTACTAGAACCAGGAGATCGTGTGTAGGTGCGTAATCTTAACGAACGTGGTGGTCCTGGCAAGCTGAGGTCATTTGGGGAGAATGACATCTACGTAGTGATAAATCGGAAGGATCCGGAGAGCCCAGTGTACGAAACGAAGCTTGAGAACGGTAAGGGAAAGAATAGGGTTCTACACCGAAATTTACTTCTCCCTTGTGATCATTTACCGGCGAAAAACCCACAACCACCTACACCAAAACCACCCCCAGCAACCCTGCCACAACAACACAGACAACCACTCAGAAACGCTGCAGCGCAGGATGAGGAAACTTCCAGCGACGAAGAATTCTCTGATGTGGTAATGGTCTCCGTATACCTCGAGAAACGAGTTCTGTCCAATTCCGAAACCCGCTACCAACAGACGAGGCAGTTCCTGATAACAGTGATAACCTGGCTGTGGACGACAATTTTGAGATCCTTGAATTGCAACCCCCTACCGAGACCGAAGAAACATTAGACCTCAGCGGTGATCAGGATAACCTAAGCCCTGTTCATGATATCCCCACCATACCTGTAGTTTGAAATCCGAGACCACAGCGAGTACGTCACCCGCCTGATCGGCTAACCTACTCGAACCCTGGTGAGACACACCCGTTTAGAGTATTCCTCATTTCAGCTACAGTTCCACCCAATGTATGGCAACCACTTCAGCAAACCAACCAATCCAACTTCTTTCGAAGTCCCCCATTTCCCTGCCTTGCATCCCAAAATCCTTTTCCTTACCCCCCCCCCCATTCCCTGGACCTTATCTATTCAACCTAATATAACCTATCCCTAACCAAGTCCCTTCGTTTCATGGACATCCAATGCAAGTGATGCAGTACCCAATATACTGAATAGTTATATAACATTTATAATTATTGTCTACCGTTACAATTAAGAAAAAACGCTCCATAACTTCAATATAAAACTAAGATATTTAGCGTGTCTTTATAAGCTATTACGTATATAAGATTAAGAGTTTATGCCAGTTAACAGAGGCTGCAGCAAAATTTAAGGTTATACTAGATAATCATCATAATCGTAATGATAGGATCCTGTTGTATAGTACTTACTAATGTATGTTTTATAAGTAATTTAGAGTGATAGTTTTATGGAGAGAACTCCTCAACAACGTACCACGCGGTACATTCCATTCCCAAAGAATAACAACGAGTGTCATGGGACGCAATAATTCTGGAGGGGGAATGTGTTAGAATGTGTCGATGTATTGATTTAATTAAGTTTAGTTTAGTTTATGAGCAAAATCCATTGACATAATGGTCAGAGTAAACGTTAGGCAGGAAGGACGTTTACTGCAGTTAATATATAATAGTGCATGATATAGACTGTGTTGATAACACATGTTAGAGAGTTAAGTTTACGCTCTTGAAGAGGTAACATCAACAACGAAGTCAGATCAAGATATATGTGTATGCATTGATAATCCTCACTGGCAAAAAGTAACCTGTATGGCACGAGGCGACATATGTTCCAAAAAGGTTCTGTCATTAGACATCAGTGAAATGTTCCTAGCATTTTTATAGGCGAAAGCGCTTTGCTGGTGACGTATAGTGATCAATTTTGCTCAGCTTATCGCGGCCTTCGCCTGAATATACTGTAGCTACATGGACGCCGTCATAAAAGGTCATAAAATAACGAGCAAAAGTTTAGTACCACGTATATTATCATGATTCCGGGAGCAGACGTTTGCACGCTGATACGAACAATTTTCAGTTATTGAATGTTCTTTGTTAATTTTGGCCTAAACGGTATGGTTTTGTTCAGGTCAAATTTTAGGAAAGAATCCGATCTTCAGAACCAGTGGGAAATGACATTTCCAGGATCCAAAAGTCTACATAGCATTCACCGAACTGAGGATATGAACCTGCATTGTAACTTTAACCTTTAACTATTCTTATTATTTTTTTATTCTGGACATATTTTAACAATTGCGTTATATTTTATTAATTGCATGATCTTATTATATGAATTTAGGATCTGATGTATAATTATAGTAACTAATTGATATGCATATATATTTTGTCACTGAAAAGCCCTTTTAGGGGAGTGTGAATAAAGTCAACCAATCAATCAATCATTTAGTTATATATCTGGCTAAAGATTAGGTCAAGGACGGTTTATCAAAACAAAAGCGATTGGCACGCCAGATAGAACGCATTTTTGACAGCGTGAGATAATACAAACTTTGAATTCAAATAATAATCTGTTTCTGCTTAGGTTCGCATAAGCTACGAAAGAAAAAGCAGGTGAATAGATACTATATATAATTAAGTCACTAGGCTTGATGCCCACGAAAAATGCTGGTTTTAAATATAGTCATCGCCCGGGAAAATTAAACAATTCGAAATGGCCACTTATGAAATTAACCGGGCGAAGACTACTAAGACCAACATTTCTGGCGGGCATCAAGCCTTGTGACGTCATTATCTATTAAAAAAGTTTAAAAAATGTTGAAAAAAAGAGCTAAAAAAAAGTTTAAAAAAGTTGATTTCCAAACAAAGTTTAAAAAAGATAGATTAGTGTTAGGGTAGTTGGGGTTAGGTTTGGGGTAAGGGGTTGGTGTTAGGGGTTAGGTGCCGCGTATTTTTCATATTGATTGATCATATTGATTTATCATATTGATTTATCATATTGTTAAATTCGGACGTGTTTAACAATTTATTCATATAGTAAATTCAAAGGTGGAGCTCATGCTGCATTTTTTCTGTTTTCCATAACGATTGAATTAGCTTCCTGGCTAAAGTACGTCGTACTTTTTGTCCATTTGGCATGTGAAAACCGCCTTACTCAATTAAAAATTATTTCTACCTATTGAATATTTCTATATGTGCATTCAAATCGTTAGTTGACTTCGGTGACACAAACTAACAAAACGTCGGCAAATGCCGGCTTATGGCAGCGATGCTTTCATGCTAAAGACGTTTACTTCAGCGTACTAATCGATCGAAAGCTCATTTACTTTAAATTGTGGTAGGCGAAGTTGTTATAAAGGTCCAGTAAGGACAACGTATTTTACTGTAAATGCATGCTTCTATACAATTTGCAAGAAGTGAGCTTCGCACCTTAACAGGTGCAGTTAAAGTGCACATAATGTATTCTAGTCACATTCAATCCATCTACATTTCTATCAACCTCGTTCCCAGGGCTTCAGTGTGAGGACGAGGCGAGACACGAGGAAGCCCTGGTCTGGGCCGGTCACGTGACGACAAGAAATGGCAGTATTTGACAGCTACTTGTCAAGGAGTGGCGAGATATTCTTTAATGAAATATACAAGTCTTCGAAACAAATAAATAGCCAAAAGACTTCTCAATCGATATTATTTATGTGTAGAGCGAAGTTTGGCACGAATCAGCTAAAATCTATATGAAGATCCCGTCTATGTTTTCTAAGATATACCGTTACTTCTGGAGATTTTCAACTACAGGCAAAGCTGCATCCAAGCTGCATCTAGGCGTCTCCATGCAAGTGGTGATTCACAGGAAATTTCCTTTCTCTCGTCTTGAACAATATGGCTATTGCTATAACTAATATTTAGTTTAAATATGCTGTTATAGATCTGACTTAGTTCAATATAAATAAACACAAATATAAATCTCGCGTAACCTGTTTACGCTGTACAGGAATATACGGATTCGCTTGTTTCGCCGGACACCAACACTTGCCGTTCACTGAGGAGCAATGCTTTCCTACAAATATTATCCACTTCACAATCTTTGTTTTATTTTATCGTATAGTCGCAATTTTCAAGTATTCGGGGTATTCTGAAACTGAAAAACTGGGTGGCGTGCGAATCTTGTAGAGACTACATCGGTCTAGGGCGTAGAGCTATTAAGTAAAGAGGGCCTAAATTAATTTAGTAGCTTCATTTAATTGTTTGTCTTGCTTTTATTTTTCAGTACAGAATATTGCAAATTAAAATATTACTACAATGCAATACGCATAGTATTTCATCAGACACCTGCACTAATAAATACTGTACAAGAAAAAATACAGCTTAAATAATAGTAGACGTTTCTTGTTTTGTTAGGAAACATCCCAGCTCACTTCGACACGGCTTTTGAGTTTTGTAACCAGCCGAGGCGAAAGTATATCATGCAGTCGGGAAAACGCACTGATCTGAAAGAAAACGTCTTATTTTGAAAGATTATTTTGCAAAACATACTCGTACACACAAGAATCATAAAAATACAAATGTTGAATTGTTATTGTCAACTGTCAAGTTCAGTTATTTCTAGACAATATGGTGTTAGCCAATCAGAATGCAAAATTGACCGGCCCAGACCAGGGCTTCCTCGTGTCTCGCCTCGTCCTCATACTGAAGCCCTGGGAACGAGGTTGCGTTCAGTATATAGCAGCAGAATCCTGGAAACAATTTTGAAATATATTTGTTATTGTTACAGCTGGATGATTAAATCCACTTGTACGGGATCGTAAGTATACTACATTAACAATTTTTGCTATTTTTTTATTCAGGAAATATTTAGTTAATATCTGCCCAAAACTTAACAGTAAAGTATTTTTATGAAAACAGCAGCGCATTCGGGATATATCCCAATTAAAATTGAAACCGGTTATAACAATTACAGTATTATAAAAAATTAGTAATAATCAATCATGGCGGTTGACAAATTTTAAGCTCAAAATAAATTTGACTTTTAAGTTCATTTGTTATCTACAAGATAACGCATACAGACAAGGAAGAATGCAGAAGTTTAGGAAACTTCGTAATAGAGTAGCATCGGAAATTACAAAGGCAAAGAGGCACTATTATGTAATGAACATTGGAAGGCTGAATACCAACGGGGATGCCCGAATTTGGTGGAAGAAGGTCTGGAAACTGACTGGAAAGAAGAAACCCTCTATCAATCTCAGTGAGCAGGGATCAGACTCCAAACTCGAAGATAGTGATGCTGCAAATATGATTAATACGTTTTTCGCAGATCTAACAAATGATTTCCCAGAAATTCAATCCAGATGGTCATCGTACGGTCATTCAGATGTCTTGCCGACTGTTACACCCGAAAGCGTTGCGAAAAAGCTTTTGTCCATTCAGTCTCACAAAGCTCCCGGTCCAAACGACCCCTACCTCAAGATAATCAAAATGTTTGCGCATTCTTTTGCCATCCCATTATTATTTTAATGCATCATTTGGGAAGAAGGTGTTTCCAAAACTGTGGAAAGAGTTCCGCCTAGCACCTATACCAAAAGTGGAACCGTGCACGAATCTGGATGAAATAAGACCAATAGCTCTCACTAGCACAATTTCAAAAATACAGGAGTCTTACGTGGTTGATTGGATGTATGACGATATTGAGTCTAAAATTTGTAAGGAACAGTATGGTGGTGTCCCACGCTCGTCAGCAGTTCTTGCGCTCGTTCACCTTCTACACAAATGGAGGAAAGCGTTGGACTTATCACAACGAGTAATACGAATTGTGTTTTTGGACTTTCGCAAGGCATTTGATCTTATTGATCACAACCTGCTATTAGACAACTGTTGTAAAATTGGAGTCAGACCGGGGCTTATTGGCTGGTTGGGGTCATATCTGAGTAAGAGGATGCAAGTGACAAGATTTGGTAACGAACTTTCTACAAGCTGCATGATTAATGGGGGAGTTCCCCAAGGTAGTCGTATTGGTCCAATCGCGTTCGTCGTTCACATTAACGGACTGAAGGCAGTGATAAGAGATACCGAGAGTAGTTTGACTAATTCAAGCAATGATGATAATGATGATGGTGATGATGACCTCACTCTTTTCATGGATGATACAACACTGTCAGAGGTTATTAACGTCCGTGATCATGTCTCGGGTACACAAGTTGGGAGTATGAACAATAATATTATGAAAGTTATGGATTTTGCCACGTCTCAAAAAATGGAGTTGAACCTGAAAAAATGTAAGGAAATGCAGTTAGACTTCCGTCAGAACAAAACAGTTATTCCACCACTAACATTCAGTGATACAACGTTGGAAAGGGTTTCCACTTTCAAACTATTGGGCTTATGGATTGACGATAATTTAAAGTGGCAAACTAATACTGATTATATAATAGGGAAAGCAGTTAAGCGACTCTTTTTATTAAAAACTTTAAAGAAATACGGTGCTGACAAGACTGATATGAAACGGTTTTACATCTCTGCCATCAGGCTGACACTTGAATATGGAGCGCAAATCTGGCATGGGGGCCTTACTAAAGCACAGAGCAGCAGTATTGAGAAAGTACAAAGAAGGGCTTTGAGAATAATTTATTCCGAAAAAGATTACGAAAAGTTATTGTTGAAAGCTGGAATGCATACGCTTGAACAACGTCGCAATACTATGTGCATTGATCTTATCAGTAAAATGTCTGACCCGCAACACAAACTGCACCATCTTCTTCCTAATAAACTTTGCAAGGTACGGCAAAGGGTTACACGTCAGAATGGTCAATTGTTTTACAATTACCACTACAGAACAGAACGTTTTCGGAACAGTTCAATCGTTTCGTCAATTGAACTCTATAATAACTCTATTTTATAATATAATATATAATATAACTTTATATATTTTTATCGAAACATTTTTAACACGTAGTGATAGTTTTTGGATCAGTCCATTGTTTCGCCAATTGAACCTTTGTTAATAACTCTCTTTTTTTAATATAACTATCCCTATTGAAACTTTTATTATACCTAATTTAGATAATTTAGTAATTAATGTATATTTTCTATATATATGTAATGCGCGTTCTAATTTAGTTACTTATTGTAGCTATTCAATGTGTAATCTTTCTATAATAATAATAATAATAATAATAATAATAATAATAATAATAATAATAATAATAATAATAATAATAATATTTTAAAGCAGACAACTCTGAAATATCACCAAATTCAGCTCACTAAAGATTAATTTCACTTTTGTGCGACCTTTAACTTTAATTTCAACGAATACGGCCAGCTTGATATACGGCTACTACTAAAAAGCGATACAGCGATACAACGATACAGCGATACAGGAACCGGAACCTGGAACCGGAACCCGGAACCGTGCATAATTTATGCAAATTGCACCACAGGAGATATACATAATAATAATTTACAGGGGGGGAGGGCGCAATTCAATGATAATATACAATATTATTGTAGCACTAAATATTACGAAGTAAAACATGTTTCATAATTGCGCGGCGATTCTTTTTGTCTGTTTTGATATGACTGCATGTGACGCACTTAGTTTATTTAGCCGCCGCACTTGATTATGAAATCCCAGCAGACAGAGAAGGAAACCACGGCACGCAAAGCAGATTGCGCTGAATTCACTAGCAATTGTGCCCTAAAATAATTCGAGTGTAGTGTAGTGTATGACGCAATCCAACTTGTCTTGAATGTGCTATATACGCTGCCGCCGGAATACGCGAATATTGCGAATATGCTTATTTGCTGCGTACTAAAAATATCCGCTTGACTGACATCGATCACAAACATGAATGAAGTTATGAAGGTAACTTCAATGTCAAAAATACATTTAATGATGAAAAATTGAAATGTCTGATTGAAATTCAGCGTCGAAATTCACTTAGCCGTGTCTCTTACCCTATATAATATATAGTACTATCAAGTACCGTTTCCGACATTATAAAAGCAATATCTGACATTGAAGCTGTTAACTTGAAGCGACTTGACATGGCCATGCCAATGTATTTTTTTACATTGAAGTTACCTTCTGACATATAAACAGAATAAAACTTCATTTATGTTTGTGATTGATGTTCAGGCGGATATTTTTAGCATGCAGCATATTTATGTTATTTATTTCTATTCGCAATATTCGCAGTGTGTATATAGCATATTCAATGTTGGATTGCATCTTACACTACACTACAAATTAATTTAGTGCACAATTGCTGCTGAATCCAGCGCAATCTGCTTTTCGTGCCGTGATTTCCTTCTCTGTCTGCTGGGATTTCATAATCAAGTGCGGCGGCCAGTAAATAAACTAAGTGCATCACATGCAGTCATATCAAAACAGACAAGAAGAATGGCCGCGCAATTACGAAACATGTTTTACTGTGTAGTGCTACAACGATGTTCATCTTTGTTTTGTTTAAAAATCAAAATGCCTTGTATATAATATTGTACTTTATCATTGAATTGCGCCCTCCCCCCCTGTAAATTATTATTATGTATATCTCCTGTGGTGCAAAATGCTCTAATTTGCATAAATTATGCACGGTTCCAGGTTCCGGTTCCAGGTTCCGGTTCCTGTATCGCTGTATCGTTGTATCGCTGTATCGCTTTTTAGTAGTAGCCATCAAATCTGCACTTTAAAATAAAATGTTAAAGTGCACTATCATGTTCCGAGTGTTTCATTACCAATAGATTAGGCCACGATACAGAGTTGTTCGGAAAACGTGAAACAATCAACAACGATACAATTCAAACTTCACGCTTCACGAGGGGTGTGTCACTCCATAAAAGTGGATGATTTATTGATTGACTTTACTGATGAACAAACCCATGGTCAAACGTGAGGTAACATGGGAAGTTATTGACTGTAAACTGGCCGCAAGAGGTCTCACTTTTTTGGCAGATTTCTATACTAATATGTTTTAAAAACCGGATTTCCGATCAAAACGACGATTGAGTGACCGCGGAAATACGTACATGTTACCGAATTACTGAAAATTCAGGAAACATTAGCCTGCGCGCAGACTATATAATGACATATATATGTCATTATATAGTCTGCGCGCAGGCTAAGGAAACATGAGCTACTAAGTAATTAATTATCAATATAAATTGTTACTATTTTGGATGTATTTTTGTTAGATCAATAAACAACAAAATATTTGAGGAATAAAGATGGCAACGTTGGAAAGCTATTTTCTAACTTGGCTAGTTATAATGACATACTGTGGTTTAATGGAAGGTGAATATAATAGTGCACTATACATGTTTGTGCAATTTTTGTTGCTCCACGATAAATTGGGCTTTTTAAATTGCTTTGTTTTATTTTTGCTTTGTTTTCTTAATTTTATCTTATTTTGTTACGCGTCAGGGGCCGGTTGTTCGAAGGTCGGATGGCGTTATCCGTATCCGGAATAGTTATTTTTTCAACCTTTGCAAAATGCTTGAAAAGCTGTGAAACTGCGGATATAGACAACACTAGAAGTATAAAAAACATTTAACTTATAAATACTAAACTTTAATACGAGTTGTACCAATCAACGACTGATTTAACAAAGCCTGAAAAAATCACTATCCGGTGGATAGCGCTATCCGACCTTCGTACAACCGGCCCCAGTTCGCCACAATAAGTTAACGTGGTGTTTGATCAATTGCCAATATCTCACTTTTGGGGGTGGAAGCGGAATAACAAAATTATAACATACCTTCCGGAAAGTACGTAAATATAGAGCTTCGTTTTTGTGAATGTGACATTAGTTAAAGCCCAACGTCTCAGTCGTGAAAACGAGGCTCAAAAGCCAAGGTAACATACTTTCCGAAAGCATATGTGTTGTGACTCAATCATTCATTATTCATTTTAAATCTTTCTACATTATTCATTATTGGCAGTGGTGCCTAAATTACGTTGAATTTGTACTCAAGTAAAAGTAGAAGTAATTAACAATAAAACGACTTGAGTAAGAGTAAAAAGTACTGGAGGCAAAACGTACTTAAGTAAAAAGTGCAAAAAAGTATCCTTAAAAAATACTTGAAGTACAAAGTAAAAGTAAAAGTACTATTGCCTGTAGCGTGTAAGGAGGGGACTTCTCCAATGATTGAAATACAAAAGACACAAAACAGCACACGCATTATATGCGTGCACCATAATATATAATATTTCACGGCATGGTTTACTTTCCAGACCCATGCTTGTAAGTGAGTCACAAACAAGAGATCCCAGACGCATGTAGAGGTCCTATTACCTATCTCAAAATTAGAATAAATCGGGAATAAATCACATAAAATTAAACAAAAGTTAGAAAGTAACGAAATACTTCGCCACAAAATGAAAATAACGAAGTAAAACGTTACTTCTTAAAACGACTTCGTTCCAACTAAAAGTACTCCACAAAAAGTTTACTTTGTTACATGCTCACTTCTCAAACATATAAGTACAGTAACGAAGTACATTTACTTCGTTACTTGACACCACTGATTATTGGTTGTATTTTTCAAATTATTTATTCATTATTTTAGTTTTAATTTCATTATTCTTTTCATCTTAGTCATCTATTCCGTTTTTCATTGTTCCAGCTTTTTTAAACACAAATATTCATTTTTCTTTTACTTTTACTCTGTGGATCTGTTATTCATGCACCATTCATTTTTTCACTCCACCCCCGATTCACTTAGACAAGTTAGATTTAATTATTTGTGCTGTTAGTTATAGTTACGCGGGCTTACCCGCGTCAGATACTAAATCATTTTACTTTATATTTTCTCTCAGATTATCTTTTCTAAAAGGCTTTTTATTCAAACTTTCAAATCTGTTAGTTACGCTGGATTTCTTCTCGACTAGATAATTTAAGTATCTCTGATTACTTTCCAAAAAAGTTTAATATTATTCAAACCTTTAAATAAGTCACCGCTGTATCCGTCTCTTCATATCATCAGTTTTCTTTCACTGACGTATTATTTGTACTTTTTCATTAAGTTTGTCCTCAGCAAACAACGCCGCAGTGTGGCGTACGGGCGTACAAAACTCCTAAGCGAGGGAAGAGGGTGATAGGTGGAAACATTGCCTCAAGTAACGCCTGGCCTTGGTTGGTTAATATACTGGATAAGAGTGACTCTCGCCAGTACTGCAGTGGAGTGATTATTGATCAACAGTGGATCCTTACTGCGGCACATTGTTTTATCTTCTACGAAAACAAGAGTGCGATTACTTTTCCATTCACAAATTATACATATATCGTAGCGGACCACACGTATAATGTCACTGATCCTTACGAGTTCACTGTAGAACCGTTACAGTTGTTTGTTCATCCCAAATATATACCGGGAGATGATGTGAGACCAGGTATGCTTCCGCATTCAACTAAGATATTCAAAACAAGTGAATTTAATGAAAAATATAATGATAGTATATAATAATGATATATACCCGCTTTCGTTTGTCGTGCTATAATCTTAGACAATTTAATTTGTCATTTTAAATTACCATTTAAATTATTACATGCAATGTTGTATTTCCTTTTCACATAAATGTTGGTGCCTTTAAAAACAAAATCTTTTTCGCCATGCCATGATTAATTTGGGGACAGGGGTCTATAAAATCGTGACAATTGATTGAGTTTCTCAACAGTTTTGTCTAAGATTGTAGATCCGAAAGTTTGGGTATAAATCAATAAGTTGATATTCAATCAATCAATCATTCGATCGATTCATCAATTAATCAATCGATAAATAAATAAAACGATACATCACCATACAGGAGTATAGTATAATCAACAGATGGAAATTTCGAGCGGAATATTATATACCGCGGAACGTACGTCATCTTGGCCATAGGCACAGAATAGGAAGGTATACAGGAAGTCTCACTCAAGCAAGTATTTGTCCCATTTTTACAAGCGATTCGTCATGAATCACGCCATCCTGGCTAGTACAACCGGCACTTTGTACCTATCAAAACCTGATAAAAACTGTACTAGCCAGGATGGCGTGGATTGGCGTGAGCGAGTTAAAATTTTCGTGGACGTAAAACAACAAAGGCACTAACCCAAGTTACACTTCTGCTATACTTTCCTATTTTGTGCCATAGGGCCTCGCTTGCGTGTATGTGAGATTAGTTGATCAGTTAAAGCCCATGCAACGTCTCAATCCCGAAAACGAGGCTCTATTGTCAAGATGACGCACTTTCCGGGAGGGTGCATTAGAAACGCTCGAAATTTCCATCTACAAAAACCCTTCAACTGTAATAAGTCTGTCGGATGAGATGCCCAGAAACTCTCGATATGTAGTTAACCATAAACGTCTTCTTTATTTCTTTCAAAATACACTATTTTCTTAATTTGCAGGAGATTACGATATTGCACTTATAAAACTTAAGAACACATTACGATTCACCAAACAAGTAAAACATGCCTGTTTACCAACCGACACTACACGATTCGATGCAACGACTTCATGTTACCTAGCCGGTTGGGGCAATACAGTGAACATCGCCGGTTATCACAGATCTCCAATCCTAAGACAAGTTCAGCTTAAGCTTGTACCGTTTAAGGACTGTAACAGCAAAACCGCTTACAATGGGATCATCCCTAGAAGGTTTCGATGTGCAGGTTACGCTAAAGGAGGGAAAGACGGTTGTTATGGTGATAGTGGTGCGCCATTACAATGCGACATTCAAGGAAGATGGACTGTGGCAGGAATAATGTCCTGGGGTGCAGGATGTGGAACACCAAACCGTTATGGAATCTACACAGATGTACAGCATTTGTGGCCATCATTTATAAAACCCGTATTAACAGGTAAGTTGTAAGGCTCTCGGCTACACTATGCAACTTGTCTCGCAACTTGTCTCGCATATTAAGAAAAATATTGAGCATTGCATTGCGAGCGATGTTACACCAAGCATTATATTTCATGCAACTTGCAATGATCATGGTTAAAAATGGCGTCAAATTAAATTGTCAGAAACCATTCGGCGAACAAACGTTGCGAAGCAAGTTGCAAGGGGGATGTTCCACTTTGCAATGGGGGGCGATGCGATGGCGGGCAACCCCAGTGGATTTGACTGCCATGCTAAAAAAATTATTTTGTGGAAAATTAATTGGATTATAAAAACTCACCTTACTTCAGTATATCAATTGAAACTCTTCTGTTCACATGTTCACATGAATTAAAATGAGAGTCGTATTTGGACGTATTTAGAAAAGATCAACATGATTATCACCATGCAATCTTATCTTTAACAATAGGTTCAGTCGATCAACTTATCACTTATCACAAGAGACCCCTATGTAGATTTAGAAAGAACTGGAAGGTCGAACAAAAATCATTTTATCTGCTGTTTACAAAGAACAAAACATTTACCGATATCGACTTGGTTCGAAATCTCCAGCTAACTCCAATGCAAATCACACTTCTGAAAAATATCACACTGGTAGATTACGCGTTTGTCATGAACACTTCTGTGCCAACTTTGATATCAAGGACAAGGTCATTTCCTTTAAATCAGATTGTAGCTGGATTCCAACAACATTCCAAGAAATTTGAGAATTATGATAAGATCAAAATGTTTGGAAAGAAGAACAACAAAAGTGTAGCTGATGTTATCAAAATGGCGGGGGTATCTAAAGCTAACTTATTGAATGCAGGAAATCCCTTAACAGCTTTATAGAACGAATTGTCTCGTTTGGCAGAACCATATTATTGAGAACGCCCATTCATATTGAACAACAAGCACATTACATATCATTAGAAAGTATCATTATGAGTTTACCCATATAACTAGTTAGTGTATTACGTTTTAGCCGAAAATGACTAAACAGTATATCATATATATAATATTGCACATATATGAGTTTCATTATGCACCAGTATTGAACAGCAGATGGTGCCAGTCATGTGGCATGAAGTTATTTCAGTAGATCTATAGACTGATGATTTAAATTCATTTCATTATTGTACACAGTACACTGTAGTAGTCATATCGGACCTGCATGAGTGACTGAGTGACGATCATGAGCATAGGCGTACGGGGCCGCTAAATTCTGGGGGGGGGGCGGTAGCTTTTTTGCCCAAAAAATTCCACATTGCCCAAAAAATTTCGGGATTCTACCGAAAAATTATTTTGGCGACCTCCCCCCCCCCCCGTCGCCAAAAAAATTTCGGTCAGTGTACCATTTTAGGGCTCAAAAAAATTTTCCGGACAACCAATATTTTTCGGAACATAACACAAACTTTCCAAAAATCACAAAATTTGCCAAAAAATTTACTTAATTTTAGACAAAATTGACATAATTTGTCCCATTTTTTTTAATTGCAAACCAAAATTGCCCGACTGTTGATCGAATATTGCCCGACTGCCCAAAAAACTGGGATATTGCCCAACTGCCCAAAAAACTGGGGGGCTACCGCCCCCCCGCCCCCCCGCCCCGTACGCCTATGATCATGAGTTTCAGCATGAGAAACAGACTGCCAGACACCATCTGCTGCCCTGGTGAGGCTAACTTCAACACACCTGTTCGAGTGCTGTACGCAGAATAGCCAAATTTGAATTGGCTAACGTACGTTATGTACGTTGTTTACATTGTTGCTACACAATTCACAACATTAGATAACGACATGCCTAGTTACTATTGTTCTAGAGTTACAGAATCAGCTTAATAAAGTTTATATAAAAACAACAAAACAAACTAGAACAAGGTAACTGAGCATTAGGCCTGCTTCAAACGTCCGCATTAGAAACAATAGTTATAAACCTATACCACACCCATTTTCTATTGTTCTCGGTCGGTTTTTGTTTTCGACTAAAGACCAGGTTCTGAAGGCTGAGCTGAAAATATAAAACCCGGTACGGGTCTGTAAACAAAAACAATAGTCCCTGGCTTCTGTAAACTAAAACAATAGTAACTAGGCATATGAGTAATCTAAAGTTGTGAATTTGGTATAAAGTAAATTTGGTATATAAACAAACATTAGCCAAATTTGTCTATGTACGCATGTTGTTGTACGTCATTCATTGCCAATGGCAATGCTCAATGGCAGTCTATATACTCTCTTGTAAATAATTAAAATATATATATATATTTAAAGTGCCTATGACACGAATTTCACCCCAAAGGTTTATGGTTGCATTGTGAAGATCACTTAAAATGACTTAATAATTTCTTTTATAGAATTTTGATAACTTGCTCCCTTTTCAAGATATTCAACTTTGTTTCATATGCAAATATCACCGGTGTGACATCACATCACATAATGAGTTTTCAGAAAAGTATAGTTTTCTTGACGAATACGTATCTAAAAAACTTAAAAATTGCCCTTGTATATGTATTAATTTCATAACTGGTAATTAACCCTCTGTATTTGTTTGCAAAAATATTTGATCAAGGTAAAATATTGTGTTTTCAAAATGTCATTATGCGATGTGATGTCACACTGGTGATATTTGCACATGAAACAAAGTTGAATATCTTGCAAAGGAAGCAAGTTACCAAAATTCTATAAAAGAGATTATTAAGTCATTTCAAGTGATCTTTACAATGCAATCATAAACATTTGGGGTGAAATTTCGTGTCATAGGCACTTTAACGTTACATGTGTAAGAAGCAAATACAATTAAAAGTATAGTAATATATATAGTTTGCTTTGGTAATGGTACGAGCCACAAGGTTTTAATGAGCTTTTCTCTCAGATGACAGCTGAATACTGAGCCTATTCAGAGACTCGCGCGATCGGTAGCACTGTCATAATGATGTATTCTGCGTCTGGTAAATTGCAGTTAAGGTTACAGGACACCCTTTTGGGCGTTTTGCGGAAAATCGCTACTGCGCGCTCAATATATATAAGTCCGATTTTCATCCAAAATTTTCGTTCAAACTTGGTCAGATAGTAGAACCAGTCTAATGCTTTCATGGAAACCAGTAAAAAAAATTTAGACAAAATTAACACTCAAAGGTGTTCTGTAACCTTAAATCACTGCGGACATGTAGCTGAGACAGGAGGCATTTCAAAAATATATATACATGTCAAAGTGTTGAACTGTTCAATCATTAAAGTCACAACATGCAGAACTGTCATTAAATAATTTTTGTGCACTAGCATATTTTTTCTTCTGTCAACCGTGTGGAATTGTTTTCTAAGCAATTTTTTGCCTTTCGAATTATGATTGAAGAGTTGAATACTTTAATATATCGAGGTTTTTGGGCATCGCGTTCGATAGCACATTAATTAGATGTGTTCAGCCATGTAGACAGGGCCGGATTAACGTCGATCGCGCGAGGCCCGTGGCAGATTTTCAGCGTGAGGCTCCCAAGTTGCCCCCCCCCGTTATGAAAACCTTTGAATTCAAAGACACACAAAATTATTAAATAATTGTTTTCAATTTTATCCACAAATTACCGCAATTTCGCAGCCAAGCTATCTCCACCAGGATTTCTGAATAATTTTCCGTTACGTTAAAGCTGGTTTCAAACATCAATGAAACCTTTATATTTTGCTGATCTGGGTGCTTGAACAACCTGAATTAATTGCGACGATTTGTAGGATATAAATGGGGCTTACAAATACATTTTCAGTATTACATAACAAAACGTTAACGATTAACTTGGCTAACAAAATGTCATACAAATCAAATGTACATTAGCACAAGCATTGGTGTCTATAATCAGCGCAACTGGCCATGGAGGTTATATGCATACGGGTATTGCATATTTTCCTGGGGCCAGCTGCCAAGCCTAGGGACCCTAAATGCGCGAGGTCCCTAATTTTGCGAGGCACCTAAAATGGGCGTGTCCCAATAGAAAATGGGCGTGTTCTCGTAAAAATGGGCGTAGTACAGTAAAGCGCGAGGCCCCCATAAGCGCGAGGCCCGCGGAATCTGCCGCATCTGCCACGTGGTTAATCCGGCCCTGCATGTAGAAGAGTAAGTTTTTGGTGTACCCGGCCCAATACGGCGAAAAACTCTCGCATAGTAGGGAACTATAAGCAAAACTCTGTTTTTATGAGCAACTGAAGCACAGTATTCCCTACCCTCGATGACTCGATCCTCAGACTTTACTCACTTCCGTGGCAGATTTTACTGTAACGCGTTATCATAGTTTGATTTTGCGTGTTTTCCTTTAATTCGCTGGCTATATCCACAGGGCCAAAACTATTTATTTCAATAGTACGAGACTGAGACTACCATGAAGAGGGTCTGAATGGGGTTAACTGACTACTGACATTTGCCTGAATTTTTGACTGACAACTGACAAAATATCCTAACTGACTACTGAGAAATGATGAAAAAAATTATAAGTCAGCATTTTGCAGTAACTGACTACTGACAGCTTGCAATATATCGCACTGACAACTGACAATTGGCTTAAATTTTAGCTGACAACTGACACCCAAAGACCCCCATTAAGACCCTCCATGAAGGCGCCCCGTTTATTTCGAATTTGCTCAATTAGCCTTTCTCACGCCTACGAGATAAGTCAACATAACAGCGACTTTTTGTAATTTTTTGGACAAATTATGGTAAGTTTGCTTTGTAAATGGTTAGTTTATGTTGAAAAAATGCTTTTCACATTGTTTTAATTGTCTGAAATGGTTAACGAGAATTGGATGCCAACCCAAAAATGGCGGATATTCGTCATCGTGAGAAAGGCTAATTTCTCGGTCATAAAGCTAGGAAGTGTGATTGTCTGATATGGAAGCACCGCTTCAAACCAGAAGGATTCTGGGAAGAAATCTCTCATGTTTCCAATATGGCGGTTTTTTCTTGTTTTCCACTATGTTTAGTTTTCGTGTAATATATTGTAAGAAATTCACATAGTCTTGGCCGGTTTTATTATTTCATTGACTGGAATATCTGCAGGACGTTGTTGTGTATGTTAAAGAGTTGAAAAGTTAAGATAACTGTGAAGATATCATTGGAAATATACAACACTGGCTTGCTGAGGAGTGAGTGTCTGAGACTACTAGACTAGTGAGTAACAAAATGAAAATAGATAACTTTTATAAACGATTGTTTGGTGTTTACATAATTTTGATAAAAATTTGCCTGCCAGTATGCACACAAATATTATATTGAGAGCTTTAACATATTTGAACGGCAGTGGTACCTCAAAAGACAATTTCAAAATAATTTGAAGTCAGTGGCGGACACTAGGGGTAGGGGGCAAGGGACAACCACCACCCCAATAATTTCTGAAAGGTCCCTTCGTCAAACTACTAACTTCCCGATGAAGAGCCTTTGCTTGAAACATCCAGGTTCTGTTTACATTTTTCATCGAATATTTCCCACAAGCTGCTGCTGTTCATTTTGAAATAATAATTTTGAAGCTTTCTATATATTTGCTATGAAAGGTTTAAACTTTAGGGTGAGCAATTTCCAAACTTTCCAATCACAGGGTCTGAATTATCACTAAAAAACAGCAAGTTGAAGCTTTGAGACAGATTTCATGTAACTCCTCCATCATGACAACAAGCATTCACATTTGCATCATGTTCTCTAAATCACGAGATATAAATTAAGCTAAATTTTCACTCACTACTTTTATCTACTTTTTAAGTCCCAAAAGTGTTCAGTACTAAAATTCTAATCATATGCATGCTCTCGCACTTAAATGATTGGGCGACATATGACAAGTAATTATTGATTGCTGAATGTCAAAACATTAATTAGGTTTTGGTTTTAATTTTAAATTTTATTTATTTAAGCAACAACCTTTAGTTAAGTTTTAGCTTAGCAATAGGAAACCAAAACGTGAGTTTTTTAATCCCGAAGAACAAAAATTATTTTCCACTATTATACAAAAAGCCAAAAAGGAGAACATACATACATACAGTCTAAGTCTGTAACTGGTAGCCAAAATTCACAAGACAGATTTACAAAAAAAATTAAACACCCTTTAGTTAGTAGTTTAATGAAAAAACCTGCACATGTTTGGTGAAATCTCACAAGTAAAATTCACTCAAATGATATTAAAAATGAAATGTCGAAAAATGTTTCTACACCTCCAAATTTTAACATCTTTCAAAATTTTATTAAAATGTTGAGAAAATTTGTTCATGCACTAGCAGAATATATTTTGCCCTCTGTAATGGATAACCAGAGACCACCATTAACATTTGCAGGCCTGACTGTTTGAGGCGTGCGCCTCCACATGCGCCTTGACTCTTTGAGACGCACTTTTTAACATGTGCCTCGTTTGTTTTAAGAGTATGAAATCTGGTTTTTTAAATTCTAAATGAAATTTTGCCGGAACAAATCCTCGCCATTTAGACTAGTTATAAAATCTTGAATGACTGGTTTAATGCTGATGAAATGAAATGATAACTGCTGGTCGGCAAAGGAGCGACGAGATTCTTCAACGTGCATTAGAATTTTACACGCAAAGTCAAACTCGACAGCAACACCATAGATTAAGAAACTCCGTTAAGAAAGCGTATAATTGAGAAAGACGCCATAACCATTGACGATAACGATGATTCGTCAAGCTCGTTGGAAATCGAGTCAGAGGACAGCGATGTTGACATTTTCATTCATGTTTAAAGTATGATGACTTTGAAAATATCACAAATACACATACTCACTAGTACAAACATTTTATATATATGTAGTACCTATACTAATTTCGCCTAAACTCCAATGTTAAAATTGTTTTGTTCTACATAAATTTTTACTCAGTTTTGTGAATGTTATTCTAGTCTGTATAGCCAATAAGCATAATTTTTACCTTGTTTTAATCGCGTGCCTGACGTTAATATGGCGCACGATATGATGTGCGCCTGCCCAAATACTTATGGCCAGGCCTGCATTTGCCTTCAAAGATTGCAAGGCAGCCATGCAGTTGCAGATGGATAATAGTTGTTGCTCCAAAGATGTTCCCTAATAGTTGTGTAGTTTGATGTTTACTCATGGTAATGTTTTCCCGTACAAGCTCAAAAAATTTTTGTTTTACTGTAGGTGCTGTAGTTTTCTAATCATCGTCCACAATGGTGTCTGATACCAGGTAAACATCTTACAAAAGAAAATCTTTGATTAGAAACAGCCACAATTTGAAAAATTATACTTATCAATGTTTTAATGTGGCTGTAATGAAACCCAATCATAGCTGTATATTCTATGCCGCAGCCAACCTTTGATATTTTTGAAAGGATGAATTGACAGTTTACCAATGAAAAGGTATTTCAAGTGAGAAATGTTTATAAAGAACTGTTTGAATCAAGTCATATTTGGAATACTTAAAAATTGAAGGCACTGCGGAACTGCTGTTTATAAATAATGAAAATAATATAGAGAATGTAAGAGAATCTTCTTCATAAGTTTGCTTTAATTGCAGTAAATATAGCTTCAATATATTTAATGTGTGTCATTTATACACACTTAACAGATGAGGTGGGGGGGTGCTAAACATCCTTACTTGCAGCTGAGAGCTAAGTTGAATTGCAAAGGATGCAACAGGACCTGATCCAGTTAAAGGCTTTCCAAGGCCGCATCTGGTAGCCACCTTATGAACTTATGATTCATGATCACAGATTCACAGAGCACAGCTACAGTGGAAAGTTCAGTTTTGAGCTTATCCCAACCAACCCTGTCAGTGTCAACATTCCCTGTGGGAGGCAACCATAGTACCCAGAGAACACCCACAACTTTTGGTAGAGCGTTGACTAACTCTTTCCACAAGTATCATGAGCGAGTCTGCATGCAGCGACAATCAAATCTACAATTTCAAAGGTGAAAGGTGCTTGCTCTGATGATTACACCACCGATTGCACCAGAGGTTAAAGACACTTTCTCTGACAATAGTGACGATTAAGTCGTCTCAGAGGTTTAATACATCTTTGCAGGGATTTATACAGAAGAAGATTGAGTTTTAGTAGGAGAAAGGGACTTGCTTCAAAGCCCCCTTTCCCATGGAACATTTTTGCTTTTGTCCCTACGAAATAACATTTCCTGCATTTTGAGCAAAAATATAACCATTTTAAAACATGTTTTTAATGGCGTGTTGAAGAGTGTACAACGATCAAGTACTTTCTTCTTTTGCAATAGATTATTGTGAAAAATATAATGACTAACTCAATTGAAGATTTACTATGATCGTATACTGGTATCAGAAAAGTGCTTGTATAAAACCCTGCTTGTAATTATAAATACAGCCAATCGTATTTCACAACATATGAATTTTTCGTTTGTTTTAAAACCGCCAAGACGCATTTAAAAAGGTAGTATACTGTAGCTACAATAACTATAGAACTCTACAAAATGCTGCCACAATTTGGCTTTTGGTGCAGGTGTGCCAAAACGTGTAAAAGATTTTTTCAATGAAACTACGGAACTGAAGAAAATTCCCTTTAACATTTATTCTAGAAAAAGACGTCGTTCACGCGATAGAAGTCCACGTGCGAGAAGTCGTTCACGAAGTAAAGAACGTAGTCAGAGGTTAAGTCGAAGAAAAGATAAGTCATTTCGAAAACGTAGACGCTCCAGTGCTTCTAGTTCGTCCAGTTCTTCTGACCATGGAAGAAATAAGAGTCGGGAGAGATCTAGAAGGTCAAGAAGTAAAGATAGAAATAAGAAGAGTAAACGTTCTCGTAGTCGTAGTCCAGACAGAAGAAAGAGAGCAAGTAACAAAGATGATTCAAAATCATCAAAGACAAGGTATGTGGGCAGAATGATGCAATACTATTTCATGCATTGTCTTCACTATAGCTGGGTTTCAGTCACGTGATACGTTTAGAGCTTGGTGGTCAACTCCAAGTGGAAACACATTCATCGGATCGGGTTAAATATTCATTATTATAAGTATTGATCTTGTGCAATTTAACAAGATTTACTTGCTTACACAAGGCGGCAATACTGTATGTGTAAAGTTGACCACGCCTATGCATAGGCGTACCGGGCGGGGGGGGGGCAGTAGCCCCCCAGTTTTTCGGGCAGTCGGGCAATATTCGATTAACAGTCGTGTAATTTTGGTTTGTTATAAAAATAAATGGGACAAATTCTGTGAATTTTTTCGAAAATTCAGTCAATTTTGTGGCCAGTGTGGTGTTTGTGGCCAGTGTGATGTCCAGAAAAATTTTTTGCCCCCTAAAATGGTACACTGACCGAAATTTTTTTGGCGACAGGGGGGGTGGTCGCCAAAATAATTTTTCCGGAAAAAATTTTTTGGTACTAGTCGGGCACAATCACGAAAAGTCGGGCGATTTTCTTTCCGCCCCCCTAATTTTTTCCTTCAGGTACGCCCATGTCCCTATGTATAAGGCTTGAGTGAAACCCAGCTATTGACGGAATTTATCTGAGGATAACTGAATAATGAGTTACTTAAATGTGCTATCATATTTCACCCAAGCCAGAGGCTCATTATTCACGTGCACACTAAGGGTCAGTTTTTGGTGGAAGAAAACCGGAGGATTAGGGGAGAACCCCTCGATGAACAGGACAGAACAACCAAACTCTATGCATACATGAGTTTTCAATCACAGGGAAGTTACTCAACCTGTATACATTGTAGAGTTAATCAATCCGTCGTCTTCTACGTCCCATGCCGAACACGCTGCATCCTTTGCAGGCTTAATTCGCTGCATTATAGAAAAGTCACACACGATTTGAGATAGAGTATGGTAATAAAATTTGTAGTTATTAGATTTGTGCATTCCAAGTTAAGCATATGTGGTATGAGCATGATTATGAGTGACATGGTTGGTGAAATAATTAACCAAATGCCAATGGACCATTTGCATTATAGACTAAATTTTGATCTGGACAAAAATTTCATCACAGCTTGAAAGAGCATCACAAAATTAGTAATATTCCAAAGTTTCGTTGCGATATGTTGTAAAATGCGGATAATATAGCCATGCGAAGTTTGCCGTTTTTCAGTCATTTTGTATTACAAACGGGAAATCGACAGCTCAATCGGGTGTTGGGGCATCAATTTCCCGTTTGTAATACAAAATGACTGAAAATTGCAAATTTCGCAAGGCTATATTATCCGCATTTTACAACATTTCGCAACGAAACTTTGGAATATTACTAATTTTGTGATGCTCTTTCAAGCTGTGATGAAATTTTTGTCTAGATCAAAATTTAGTCTATAATGCAAATGGTCCATTAATAGAATATTATTTCAATATATTTTTCTAGTAGAGATAAAAAGAGAGATGACTCTGAAAGTGCATCTAAGAAAACGAAGGTTGGTGTGACTCCGCGCATCTCGATACACATAGCTCCATCAACAGAGCAATTCAAAAATATGTCATATATATATATATATAGGCAATTGTTCATCATTGTTGCATGACATATTAACTGAAAAATACTGTTTCTGTTATTTGTATGAATACAAGTCAATTGTGTTCAGACCAACGTGACAACGGCAGTCAATACATGAAAATGTCAGGTTAAATTAGTTGATCCAGCTTTTCTTTTATTTTTTTAAACTTATTGTCTGGGTCACTTTGCCTTTGTTCAGAATGACGAAAAGAAAGACGAAAGTAAAAAGGAAGCAACCGGCAAGGTAAGGCAAAGCTTTAGACATACAGAAGATTCCCAAGATTAGCTTCACAACCTCGTTCTAGGACTTTCTTCGCGCAGTTTGAGTAAGTATATATTCCGTGCAGTACATAGTTGGAAAAACCGGGTCAAAATATCAAAAGCAACGCATTGTTGAAAGTTCATGCATACCGGTACGTATGTTGTTTTGTTGTGTTGTTTATTGTACCTTGTAAATCGTTTTAATCATTAACCTCCGAAATATCTGCTAGGACCAGCTTTCAAAATTGACCAAGTTCAAAATTCCAAAATACATGAAAAGCACGCGACGATGGCCTGCGACGAGGTTGTGAATCTATTATTGGTAAACCTCTTGTCGTCTATTGTACCTACAGTAATGTAAGGGGTTGTGTTTACTGTAACGGATTCCGAACCAAAGAGAATGCCCAAGATTTGTAGTTCTTTCCTGATTTCAAATATGTGTCTGATGATCTCATTTTTCAGGACTACGAGCAAAATCAACTTGAAGAGGAAATGAGGAAGAGAAAAGAACGGTAGGGATGAAAAGTTGTTTATAAAGCTAACGATCAACAATAAAGTCCTGTACAGACGAGCAAGTTTCCTTGACAGGTTTTCCATGACAACTTTCATTTTGCTCTTGTTTACGGAAAAAAATTGACAATTTTTCCTTGCCAAGGAATATTGTTCCAAAACTAGTCATGCCAAGCTTTTGGACGAGGAAAATTTGTTCGTGTGTACGGCCGCCAAGGAAACTTGGCAAGTGTACAAGAAATATTTCTATGGTTTTGGCAAACAAAGGCGACGTGAGGTAAATGTTTAACAACATTACGTGCAGACGAACAACAAAACTTGTGAAGGAGAAAACTTGTTGACCGTATACACGAGAAGGTAAACTTGTCTAGGAAAACTTGGTCATCTGTACGGAGCTTAGTGTATTTGAGGGATGACATGATCAAATTACCTGAAAAATATTAACAAGAACTGTACTATATATCTTATTATTATGTCTTATTATTAGATATTATCTTATTATATTGTTATGTGGACAGACGTGTCACACATTATGCGGAATGTAATAATATCTCATACATAGTTTCAGTTAATATGGGAATACGATAATAAGTCACGTGATGCGCATAGCACAACATTGCATTACGTTCATTGATCTATGATAAAATTGCCCGCTGTCCCTGACGCACCAGGAATTACTGTAATCCCTAACCAACGGTACCTCCTCCATCCCCAATGCCAACTAGTTATCCATCAGAGATGGAGAATTACGTAATCACAGAAGAAAAGCTAGTACGAAAATCAATTGGTAACCTCGAAGAACTTTGGATATCGACGCCATCAAGCACAAGCAATATTGGCGAGCTATGCATGAAGTGGGACCATACAGGGGCGGATGAAACCTGGGTGGGACCTTGGTGGGACACTTGAAGCGACTGCGTACAGTGCTCGTTGGTGACTAATTACATAGTATTTAAAACAAGAGCAGGAGTGCTTTATCAGATATAAAACACGAGAGCGCACGTTATCTAAGCCGAGAAATCGAAGCTAAAGTTTATGTAAATGAAGATGATTTTTATCATATATAAAACCACCCACCCGGTAGTGATTTCATTTGTCTTTTCCTCATGAATTATTAATGAGTTTTTAAAATACTGTATAATCTTCTCCACACCTACTATTTGCATAACATTAATATACCAGAAGCGAACCTTAATTCCCTGTTAACTTCCTTTTATTGTACCAATCAAATTTCTTTTCCATTTCTTTTCACCCATTCTTCAATACTAATATATTGTGTTTATTATTCTGTTTTTGATTCTGTCATCCCTCAGGAATGTTCTTTATTCACATATTCCTGCTTTACAGTTATACGACGTTAAACAAATCTTCAAAATCTTCACGGGGAGGGGGGAACGAACTCGGACCCCTTACCCCCAGGAACGAACTCGGACCCCTTACCTTCAGCTCCACATAGCGGCTTACGTCTTTCAAAAAGCCTGCTCCTCTGAATTCTGTTTGGAACCCTGTCATCACAACGACGCAACCTACACTGGCACCAACCATGTTGGTTGTGATGACAGGATTCCATATCAGTATCTGTAATGTGACATAGTTATGATCATCAGTGCATATGAAACATTGTTAAATGTCTACAGAACGGAGCAAGCTATATATAGACCCATTGCACTGACGTCACAAATCCTTAGAGTGTCCTCCAGATGCTCCCTAACAGTATCTGTTCTAGTACAACAACCACATACAGCGCAAAAATTAACCATTTTAATACCAAATTATTATAAAGTTTTACAAAATTTGCTTTCTTTACATTTATATTATGCATAGATTGTTAATTTGTCCTCCAGATGCATCGTCACCGGCGCTGTGACGTCATATGCAATGGGTCTATACACTTATACAGTACGAAAGTCTGACAAAGATCTTATTCGGTTATTTTACTTACTATATATGCAATTATAAAAAGTGGTGTGACATATCGTTTCATCACATCCGGCATGTTAAGTAGCTTATCTTGATTTAGGATTGAGAACTGGCGAAAACAAAGGAAAGCTGAAACTCTTGAGAAAGAAGCGGAAAGTGATCCAAACAGAAAAGGATGGACTTTAGAAGATGACGAAGAAGACGATGCTGAAGATGTATGATTGTGTTTTTATTTTTTGTGTACTTTCTACAAATTTGGGAACTATTAAGAAAGGTTCGATTCCTGCAACACGACCAGAAATTGCACAGACAAATGATCATGTCACTGAGTATTCATTGCATGCTTGCCATCGTGAGCTCAGTCAAACATTTTATTGTTTTTAGGCCTTCTTATTCTATCAATAAATAAAAAACTTTGCCGACGTTATCTTGAAATAATGTGGTAGTTTGCCTCATTAACATTCAGTGCAGGTTAGCGTGTACAATCTGTGCATGTTCAGTTAAGAATACTGTAGATAGCTCATCTTAGCTCTCAATTTGTAGTTGCAATTTCTGATCGTGCATTTGGTTGTGAGATTATAATTGTACCTTGCATGATGTGAGAAAAGTGCTTCCTGTTGAATTCTGGTTTTCTCTGGGTAGTCTCATTTCTTCTTGTAGTGGGACAGAAGTAATAAGGAATAGCCCTATACTGGACATCTTGGGAAAACAGTTTAGAAATAATAGAGCTGTCTACAGTAAAAATTAAGTTAGTTTGGCTTAGATGTTTTAATGGGTTGTTTTTCTATCTTCTATTAGGTCAATTCCGAGAATGGAGATACAGGTATATTTATAATTTGGTTTTTATATCTTACGTGGAAAATCATTGCATATTGACATATAAGTCATTGCATAAATGCCCAGTATAATTAAACATGATGTTTTCCAAAAAAATCAAAGTAATAATTTTTCGTGCTTTCTTTGGTTTCAGGAAATGAGAACTCTACGGTCACACAGGTAACATACAGTGTGCATAGTTCGAATGAATATTTATTATTTATTATATAAAGTAGAGTGCTTTATAGAGATTTCGAGTACTGATAAAACTGATAATCTCACATGTGAGATTATTTATGATAATTTCACATGTGAAAATTATCGCTTTTCAATTATCGCTTTTCTGTAAGAATTATCGCTTTCCAAAGACTGTCATAAAAATACATGGATGCTTGGAAATACCAGATTTATTTCTCGTGTTGAACATGATATCTCACTCGTTCGCTGCGCTCATGCACTCTTGAGATATCTTGTTCAACATGTTCAACAAATACTAAAACAATTACCTCGGTGATTATCGGGGAATATTCACCTCGACTTCGTCTCGGCGAATATTCCCCGATAATCACCTCGCCTTCGGCGAATAATTGTTAAATATAAAAACAACTGCGAATGTGCTATAATTTTTATCATTTATTTCAGGATGAGGATGTTGATCCACTAGATGCCTTCATGGTTCAAGTTGACCGGCAGGTACACTAGTGAGGCTTGCATGTGACTTCTTACAAACAAAACAAAGACTGTTTGGGAAGGTTGTGAGTTTGCTGCAAGCATTGTGAGACATTGCATTCGTTTGCTTAAAAACCCGAGTAGCGAGCGAAAACATGACCAAAGGTTGTTCAATTACATTTAGCATTATTCCAGGTCGAGTTATGAAATGAACACATTTTAATTTTTATTTCATCATTGAATGAGTAAGATTTCTTCACACAGAAAGTCGCCTCTAACCTTCATTATTTATTTGTTTTCAGGTGTCTAAACAGAAACAGGATGGTGATAAACGCAAAGGAATTACAAAGTCAGAAAAAGGCAAAGCAACTGTCATTACTACTGTTGTCAAGAAAAAGGTTGGTTTTCTCGTTTTAGTAAGACTGTAAACTTCGTATATATTTGAAAGCTCTTAATCATTAAAACCTGAACAACCGGACTCAAAATTTCTAAACTAGCATATCCGCTAGAAATTTTGGCATTAATTGGCACCGTACGTATCACGAATCTCAGTTAGTTTTCTAACCAAATCACTAACATACCATTTACTGTATTGATATTGAAAACGTTTTGATATATGTAGCTACTTTAATAAACGTCATCCGTCCATGTGCATGTTAACAATTAGGTAAACTTTCATCAGTATCTGAATTTTGCCCGCAAATCGCAGCGTGTAAGCATAGGCATACATATTTCTGTAATATACCACATTTACAAATATGTTTCGTTTGTGTTTTAAGATTGTTGCCGAGGCAGATAAACAGAAGAGCGTTTCAAAAGGCGAATTAATGGTTAATGATGAAGATGCAATGGAGGTAGGTTGATGATATCTTAAACAGTCCAGTGGACCTAACAAAATCGTCCCCTTTGGAGCAGTTGCAGGAAATGTTGAGCCTGCCTGCAATGGCGGAAACTTCGCAAAGTATTGAGGGTGGGAGGCGGATTTAGATTGCCAATATATCACCTTTTATGCTGGAAATTGTGGTTGTTTGTTCGAAAATATTGGGGAAGTGGGCGGTTGAAAAGTCCCCCCCCCCTAGTGTCCGTGGAGACTAACATTTTGAATGTTTCTGAAATATGTTTTAACATGCAGTATTACGGTTATTATTGTTTATTATTATATTTTATGAATTCAATTTATCATGCATGTGTATATCGACTTTATTTATTCTGACTTATTTTAAATTTGTGTAATTTTAATTCCATTGAAGAGGCTCATTGTGATTGTAATGGTGCGCACACGAAAAACAGATATGTATACATACTTCACAATATTTTTTTTCCAGTATTCTTCAGAAGGCGAAGAAGAAGAAGATGTCCTAGCTGATCCAAATAATATAGGTTACAAAACCAAACCGAAAAAGGTATGACATTTTGCTTGGTGGGTATTTCGCTTTCCGCAGAGTCGTTCAGACAGAACTAATGGGGAAATTCAGTGTAAATAAAGTAACCTTAGTTCAGGGGCGGATTTTCGTTTTTTTAAAAGGAGGGGTGGAAAAAGTTCTAGTGGGGTGCAAGTGAGCTTCGGCAGGGGTTAGGCGTTAGGGTTAAAGACTTTCACACAAAATAGAAGGGGTGAAGCGAAATTTTGGTGGGGTTGAACACTTTATAAGAGGGATTAGAGAGATTCTGGGGGGGGGGGGGTTAACCCACCCCCAGTAAATCCGCCCATGCCTTAGTTTGTTTAGTAGTTTAGTTCAATATACCAGCCGAGGGTCAGGCAATTCGATATGTTTTGAATGTTATTGTCGATTTCAGGTAACTTTTCAACACGCTGTTCCCAAGTTCGTTGCGAACTTGCCAATTACGTTGTCAAGTTCGGAAGTTGGGCGTGAAATGCGCAACGAAGTTCGCAAGTTCATTTCAAAGTTCGAACTTTGATTGTAAACAAATTTTGATAGTTGGAGTTGAACTGATTACTGTATAAGGCCCTATGCACATATCTGCAGTAAAATATTGGTCCAGTGGTCTCCTTTTTAAATAAATTTATAAATGAAATTTTTACATTTGTTTACAGTCGAAGTTCGAACTTTGAAATGAACTTGCGAAATTCGTTGCGAAGTTCCCGCCCAACTTCCGAATTAGGAAACGTAATTGGCAAGTTGACAACAAACTTGGGAACCACGCTTTGAAAAGTAATCTGAATCGTAGCCAGCGTAGCCGGCTCTTTTATAAGAAGAGCCTGCCTGAAAGCCCTAGTAAGATTGATTACGCCTACTTAGTTAATATTCCATATTAACACCGCCCACTTGAAATAGTTTTGTATAAATGATGACATGAAATGTCAATTGTTGCATATTTACTATAGCCTACGCTACATGCTTTCAAGAAACTTTTTACAATATATAGATGGATAGCGATTCAACTGCCTGGAAATACAAGCAAAACGTCGGCATTTCGAGCGAAGCTAAGGCCTTTCGACTTTGTGTGGAAATTAATAGTAGACGAAGACCGTTCAAAATTATATTATGCTTTGCACCTGTATGGCTGTACTACAGTTATAAATATTGCAGTATTAAATATAATAAATGACTTAGGAAAAAAGTAAATAGACCTCTTCCCGTGTTATACACGTTGGCAGGCAAATGTATTTTAAAAGCTCCAAAGAGAGCTTCGTATTATTATGATGTAAACACAATGGGGAATGTATTATTTTATATAGTCGTAATTTGCCAGCCAGCAAAATATAAACAAGGCAAGGACAGCCAAGGTTTTATACTCTATACTATAGTGACCATACGGTAAAATCATACGACATATGCAGTAATAGCAGTATGGCTTTCCTTTTTCCGTTTAGATACCGGTATATGTTATACATTTTACACTTTGTTAGCCTATTTGAATTTTATATTTTAGCCGACAGGTTTACACTTCAATAGCGATGCTGTTTGTTTTTACTGTATTTATTTTTAAATTTTTGAATAAATTAGCGTAATGATGCTTGTGATGTTACTCTGAGTGTATATCCACACCGGGCAAGCTTGAAAAATATGCCTGACCACGGTGGAAATCGAACCTACGACCTTTGGAATACTAGCCCAATGCTCTGCCAACTGAGCTACGCGGTCTGGTCGGTTCAAGTATGTGATATTTCGGAACAGAATCTAGTTCCTTCGATATCAATGTTATCTAATAATAATCATGATTTTTCTGTGTTGGTGTAATGTACTCAGGTGAATATGATGCTTGTGCTAGCATTCCAAAGGTCGTAGGTTCGATTCCCACCGTGGTCAGGCATATTTTTCAAGCTTGCCCGGTGTGGATATACACTCCGAGTAACATCATATTCACCTGAGTACATTACACCAACACAGAAAAATCAAAATTAGCGTAATATGTCAATCAACCTGTGGTCAACGTAAATTCAGCCAATCACAATTCTCGGCAGCTGGCTGCCGAGAGTGATCAATTTTACTAGGGCTTCCGGGCAGGCTCTCCTTCAATTATCTGCCCTATAAAAGAGCCGGGCCAGCCGGCCACGCTGGCTAGACAAATCGTTAAATTCACACCAACTGATATTTTATAAACGTAGGGGCGTAGGGGCAGCGCTGCGTTTTAGGGAGGACGCCTTTTTGGCTTTTCCATTAGAAAAAGGTACTTTTCCCATTGTTTTGTTTGGGAAAGGGGTACTGAAAGGAAAACGTGGGCGTGGCGAATATTCCCCTATGAATGTAGCTGTTAAACTTGGACGTTAGTTAATAAAGTCGCCTGTTAAAACATTAAGTTGTGGTACGGCGTTATTGACTGACTCTCATGGACCCCCCTCATGTATACAGTCGAATTCAGGACACCACAGGACAGAGCAACTTGTCCGTAAAGGTCGCCACAATGACGACCACTACACCACACTATTAAAAGTTTAATAGTTTAAGGATTTTAAATTAAGTATCTACACCTAAAAACTATTATATACATACTGCTGTTTATGAATGATTGTTTTGGAACGAAACGAACTACAACGACATTTTGCAGCTAAATAAATTAATGAAGCATTGATGTTTGTTAACTGCTAACACCTGATTAACGGAGTGTCTGTAATAAAGAGAAAACTGGGGCCTTTGGTGGCGTAGTCGTCAGGGCAAACGCCTTTCACCTCTAAGAGTGTGAGTTCTATCCGTACATCGGACTAATGACACTTATGTGAAAAGAGTTAGTCAACCTTCCTCAGGTTTCCTGCCACAGGGAATGTTCACAGGGTGGGTTGGGATTAGCCCCCTAACTGACCCTCCCATGCCCGTAGCTGTGCTCTGTGATCAGACATGAGTCATAAGGTGGCTGCCCGAGGCGCCCTTAGTGAGCATTCGACTCGATCAGGTTGAGCTGCCTCCTTCGCAATTCAGCTCAGCAGGATGATTAGTATGCACACCCTATAGTTACTCACTGAAGCCAAAGATTAGATACGATTAAGATGTGCCACTCTGCGAAAATTATGTCCGAGATTTTTTTATAGCTGCCATTTTGCCAGTAAGTGTCAAATCCAACGCCATCAGTCTCTAAATAGTAAAATCCAACGCCATCAGCAAAGATTAGATACTATAAAGATGTGTCACTCTGCGAAAATTATGTCCGAGATTTTTTTATAGCCGCCATTTTGCCAGTAAGTGTCAAATTCGTCAAAATTCGTCATATAGCGCGAGCATCGCGATGGCAACCTATTGTATTCAGTCTCGCCGCCATTTTGGCAGTAAGTGTTATGCACTCGTCATCTCGCGTGATCACTCGTGATCAGCACGGAAAATTACGGACACGCAAACATTAGGGAAATACGTCGAGTGGCACATCTTTATCGTATCTAATCTTTGCTAAAGCTGCGGTGTGAAGGATATACAATCACCTGAAAAATATAACTTCGTCTATAAACTTCCCGACTAAGGGCCTTCGCTCGAAACGTCCACGTTCTGCTCATATTTTTCATGCAGGTACAGTAGTTGTATACAGTGGCGGAAATTCACTTTTTCCGGGGGGGGGGGCAAAGCCTCCTAAATTTCCGACAAAACTCTCAAATTTCCGACATACCCCCCCCCCCTATTTGCACTCGAAAAGACTGTTTTAGCCTAACACCCGAGTCAAAATTTCCGAAAGCACGTCAATTTTCCGTGAAGGCGGCGCCGCCCACCAAGATTTCCGCCACTGGTTGTATACCGTTCACACCGCTACTTTCTGTTATCGTCTCTACCTACACTTGCAAGATTGTAATATATAGAGGTTAAATTCATATATACGGTATTTGTTCTTTGTTGACAAAATTAAGTATCTGTTTTCCGTGTTAGAGAGTGTACGTATTATATAGAGATTATTTTCAAAGAAAATAGAATTTTATTGAAAGTTTTGTCGGGACATAGGAGATTGTCTGTATTTGAGAGGTGTCCGTATTACAGAGGTTTAGCTGTGTTGTATTATTGTAGTTAATATTTACCCTGGCAATTTTTTTATTCATTTACAGGAGTTAGCTGCAGTTGATCATTCTAAAGTGTATTATCAACCTTTTAGAAAGAGCTTTTACGTCGAAGTTCCTGAACTTGCCAAGCTCACACCTGAAGGTATTCTTGTTTTTGTTTCTTGTTTTTTGTGCATGTTCACTGGTTTGCAGATGGCATTGTAATTTCTTTGGTCACAAACACTTCAAAATTTAGGACAATAGGGAGATTATATTATGTGGTAAAATATTTCATGAGTTGAAAGATGGAATATAACACCAAAATAAATCTATCGATGTGTTATTGCCGGAATTAAATATGAAACCAATACATACCTGAGTTGCATGTACAATATTTAAAATTAATAGAAATCTAAGAAATAAGTCCTAAAAATGTTTGAGTGAAGATGTAATATTTAACACACGTGATCATAATCAGCCAATTAAATGACCAAAATTAATGATAATAATAATAATTATAATTTTTATACTTATCCAGGATACCCAACATCACTTACGTGTTTTTCAGTGGTGTCCGGCATCAAATCATGCAAAATTACAATTATTTACAATATTAATTGTCAATATTTAAATCGTTCAAAAATATACAAATATATACATGTACGTTACAACAATGATAAAAGAACAATTAATTTATAATTCAATAAAATTTAATTTAGTCGATAAGCATGTAACGTGCCCCAAATGGTAAGGAAAGAATCCATCAATTCTGTAGTCAGGAAGTTAAGATGATATTGCTCAGAATTACAGTGAAAATACAAAAAGTGTCCCACTTCCGCTTCTGTAGTTTGTTGTGATTTACTGTAATTTGTTCTGTTTTTCTGTAGCGATTACCGATTTATTGGCAAATACTGCGATAAAATTTAAATTTCGTACCTTTTATGCAATGAAACTAACGAAAAATGTATTATTTCCGTTTGCTACAAATTATCATATTTAAAAATGGAGAAAACTAAGTTTTATCGCAGTATTTGCCGATAAATCGGTAATCGCTACAGAAAAACAGAACAAATTACAGTAAATCACAACAAACTACAGAAGCGGAAGTGGGACACTTTTTGTATTTTCACTGTAATACGTAGAGGCACTGTGCACACCCACGAACTAAACTGTACACATATATTTAAAATATATCAAGCATGCATGCAACAAATAGGTCTTAAATTGAGAATTTAATGTGGTAATAACATTTATATATTAGTATTTTTGCACAAGTGAATATAACAAATCATACAAGTTGATTGGTCAAATTTGACGTATTAAATTGTTTTATTATTTATTTAAAAAATTCCTGGTTTTTGATTGGCTAACAGCTAACTGTGAAATTGTCATATCAACTCAATGGCTAACCAAATATGGATTTTTCACATTCATATTAGCAAAATGACGTCAAAGAGTCAATATGAAAAAAATTGGACGCGTTTGCGCCATATTACTATGACAACGAGAATCATATTGACTCGCTGACGCCATTGATATGACGACGACAATGGCTGCCGAAGGACTAAAGAATTGTTTTTTCTTAATTTAACAAGTAAAATACAATTGGATTCCGTTTGTTTTGATTTTTTTAAATAAATAATAAAACAATTATTGAATTCGGTTTTCGCACAATATGAAGAATTATCAAGCCCTCAGTTTGCCGTTATCAACCTCAGCCTTCGGCTTCGGTTGATAACGGCAAACTTCGGGCTTGATAATTCTTCATATCGTGCTCAACCTCATTCAACAATTGTTAAATATTCACCTACAAGAGCCGGTTGTTCGAAAGCTGGTTAGCTTAACCCTAGGTTAACTTAAAATTCCAAAGCAAACTTCCCAACAGCTTGTATATAAATTTGGAAATATTTCTTCAAACTAAAACAGCATCGATGTTTAATTTTAAAAGAGGGTTAGCGCTAATCCAGCTTAATTTGAACAACCAGGTGAATATAACAAAAACAAAATTTGAAAAATGGTGGCTTATTGCCGTTTTGTGGAAGTTACTGATACAGAAATAATCAAAATTAAAATAAATTTAGTTTCAAAAAACACAAAAGACTTATGTAAAAATACTAAAACAATTATTCGCCTCAGGCTCGGTGATTATCGGGGAATATTCTTATATTCATCTCGACTTCGTCTCGGTGAATATTCCCGTTAAATATTTAACAAATATAAAACATTTTCCGTGTTGATATACAGTTATATCAACACGAGTGGAATTGGGAAAACGAGAAATTGTATGGAAACACGACGCCCGAAGGGCGGAGTGTTTTCATACAATTTCGAGTTTTCCCAACTTCCACGAGTGTTGATATAACTATATATCAATACGGAAAAAATGTTTTATATATTTTTTATAATATAGCAATGTCAAAAGCCCGAAGGATAAGAAAAATTTCCGTATTTACAAGCGGCGGAAAATTTGCCGTGTTGACATTGAGTTATATCAACACGGCTCTTAGCCAATCAGCGTTCAGAATTTACAAATGCTATATTATAATGTTAAATATTGCTCATGCAGTTGCACTGAATAGTCGGAACAAAATATTTGAACGACATGTTTGATGTTTGGCGGTCTATAGGTGCACGATCACGTTGCAGACAGGTGTACAGTACAATCAGTCTAATTGTACAAGGTTATAAAGTTTTCACTTCATATAAGGTTCTGTCCACTAAATATACCAGTTAATCACTCCCAAATGTTTACGGGATGCACAAATTATTTAAATTTTTGTTGTTTGTTAGTTAAAGTAATTTTGTAAAGTTTGGCATTAACGGCCATTAATTTTTCTTCTTGATAAATAGAGTCTTGCATTTACCTCAAGCCGTTTGCCTTTGTTGAAAATATAAAGTAGTACAATCCTAAATCTTCGTATGCGAAAAAAGTAGACAAAAGGATTAATGCATGAATTAATATAGATAAATGAAAATAATCTCCTCCATACGACAAAGTTTGAAATGGAGTTAAAGGCCATCATTTGAAGAACGGCATAGGGCAAGTACGTGGCATAAAATAGACAGACAACAATAAATGTGTTTAACGCCAATTTCAGAAGACCTTTTTCCTGTTTTTTTCGTTGTGGAGTTGCTAAAGAATTTGAATTATCCAAATTTCGTCGTGATGATAACTGATGTTTCACAGCTTTAAAAACCACTGCATACAGATAAGCAACAAAGGTCATCTCTAGTAAAACAACAGCACTTAAAGTTTTATCCAATATGTCATGGTCTAGACGCGCAGTTGAGACATCGACTAAGAAATGAGCGATGCCCAAAGCTACTGCTACAAGCCAAGAACAGAAAATCATCAGTAATGTCCTTGTTCTAGTCACAAAAGTTGCGTATCTCAATGGATAGACCACTGCGACAAACTTATCGATAGCAATGGTCAACACAGCCGTACTGCTTAAGAACAAGCAAAACGTATTCAGACTTGTATAGTTTTCCTTGTACTCGGGTCTTCCTAAGTTCGTGAGATAAATATTCCATGGTAAAAAGGTTGTCAGTGATATAAGATCTACCGAGGCCAGGTTTAGAATCAACAAGTCTGAATTCTTTAGTCGTAACTCGTGTCTTTTTGCGAATAAAATGATCACAAGAAAGTTTGCTGTCGAACCAACAATAACTTGCAATGAAGCAAAGGACGTGAGAAGATACACCTCCATATTGCTCAATTTTGATGTAAGATTGCTCATCGTTACAGTGAAACAAGTTATATTAAAATGTGTTTCGAACTGTGGAAGTTTATATATTGATCAATAGACAATACCATGTAGTTTTCCATTCCTCGTGACAATAATAAATTTATTATACAGCGAAATTAATTACACAGGTAAATAAAAGAGGCAAAAGTTTGTTATGTTTCATTGTCATTGCCTCCCTCGCAACGACTCAAAGAGCGGCTGCATGCGTGGGAGACTACATTGTCATTGGCTGATATAATTTGTAACTGTCTAAGAACACTTAAGAAAAGTAAGGGAGCAGTGACATGCCCTCTTAGTTGTACGCTTGCACATAAGCGCCTTTATACTGCCCACAATACTACCCAAAATCAACAAATAACGGTAAAAATGCCTTGTTTGGTACATTTCCAATAAGAATCAGATAAAAGAAACAGACGCTCAAAGGATGGTTTAATTATACGACAGATTACAAAAACCGTTTCCAGATCTATTCATCTATTAAAATGGCCGCCAATAGGAATTTGAGCCCGCAGTACCATGGTGTGACACTAATCTTTTAACAATTATCTACCATTATAATTTAATATATTTATCACTTATTTACTGAGACCGAGGGAAATAGTGTGTTTTGTGGACCCGACAAAACACACTGCTTTCCCGAGGTTTCAGTAAATAAGTGTTTTGTTATATAGGGTATAAGTGTCAAAGTATGAATAATTCACCGGTTATTGGAGTGAACTTAATTTGAAACCAAAACTGGATAAATGTTTAGTAAAAAGTTTAAGTTTAAAAAATGAACTTTGGAACTTCATGGTTGACACGCATGCGTATTGCACCCATTTTATTATTGACCGGTCAATAAATGTTTGATTGCGGACCGGTTGCCGAACATGACGTTTTGTGGACCGGCACGTGACACGGTTTTGACCAATCGGCAAACAGAAAAATTGAACTTTGACACTAACTATATAACAAGTTAACTGGTTATATAGTTAGTGTCAAAGTTCAATTTTTCTGTTTGCCGATTGGTCAAAACCGTATCACATGCTGGTCCACAAAACGCCATGTTCACTGCGTGCTTTACCGAGGAAGCAACCGGTCCACAATGAAACATTTATTGACCGGTCAATAATAAAATGGGTGCAATGCGCTGATGCGCATGCGTGTCAACCACGAAGTTCCAAAGTTCATTTTTAAACTTTTTACTAAACATTTACGGCGTTCCATTTATCCAGTTTTGGTTTCAAATTAAGTTCACTCCAATAACCGGTGAATTATTCGTACTTTGACGCTTATATACTATATAACAAAACACTTATTTACTGAGACCTCGGGAAAGCAGTGTGTTTTGTGGCCCCTCGACCGCCGAAAACAAATTTAATGTTAAAAGTAGGTATACATGATGCTGCCTCCTCCGTACATGTTGTTCCGGCTGAAAATATACGATTGATAATATATACTACTCTGATGGCAGATAATGCACGCTTCCGGAAAGTACGTCATCTTGGCTGTAGAGCCCCGTTTTCGTGATTGAGATGTTGGGCTTTAACTAATACACGAAAACGAGGCTCTATATAGCCAAAGCGAAGTACTTTCCGGAAAGGTGCATTGTTTTGTAAAATTTTAGTTGCAGGAACCCCTGATGCCCTGTTCGGGTTTCTTTCGCGTCAAAACTGTATTTTTGTTCATATTTTAGAGGTGGAAGTTATGTTGCAGGATCTGGAAAATATCAAAGTAAAAGGAAAAAATACACCAAAACCAATCAAGACATGGGCACAGGTAATTCAATTTGTATTATCAAAGTCGTTTGTCAATTGATTTACACCTGGGGCCGGTTGTATAAGAAAAGTGATAAAAGTTAACTATAGTTAAGTGGAAATGTCATCCAATAAGAAGCGCCTATTTGAGAGTAAATCACTGTTTAACTACAAATCCACACCGCGGTCAAACATGAAGTGCATGCAGGCGTGTACAAAAATGCATGGCGGGGAAATGTCTGCCAAAATAATAGAAGTATATACAGAAGAAAAGCGTTTACTATAAGCAAGCGGCTGAAGCTACAAGGTAGGTAATTTCACCGCTTTTTCATTGTGTCAAGACGAAGTTACTCTCGTAAACTTCTAGAGCTTCGTGAAGACAATACTATTGTACAGGGCAAAACTTTCCCAGGGGCCCCTATGACGTCATATAAATTGCAAAACGAGAAAAGCGGTGTTTTACATTATGTAACGTTTTATTGCGTATTATATCCGGCACTGGCGCAGCTAGGATTTATATTCTCGGTTCAACAATCTTTGGGGGCATGGTGGAAAAGACGGAGTCGGAGTACGGAGTCTGTCAAAAAATTGTTTATTTCGCATAGATTCGATTTTAACGAGACTCCGCGTTTTCTACTTTATGGGGGAATAAAGTGAAAACGCGGAGTCTGTCAAAAAATTGTTTATTTTTCCGCATAGATTCCATTTTAACGAGACTCTGCATTTTAATAAACATTTTTAACGAGACTCCGCTTTGGGTATAAAGTGGAAAACGGAGTCTCGTTATTTAGGCAAAATAAACAATGAATATTTAGGCGAAATAAACAATTTTTTGACAGACTACGCGTTCTCTACTTTATACCCCCATAAAGTGGAAACGCGGAGTCTCGTTAAAATCGAATGTTTGCGAAATAAACAATTTTTTCACAGACTCCGTACTGGCGTATTTAGAATAGGTAATAGTATATGGGTTAGAATGCACTTTGGAAAACATGCTCGAGTGAGCTTACAAAGAAGATCTAAATTCTACGAGTCCGAACGACTAGTGCAATTTGAAATATTTGAAAAAGTTATGCAGAACCAAATTAATAGGCACCTCCATGCATGAATCACATACGAAATAAATAATTTATTCAATAGTTTGAATTACATATCAAGTTTACAACTGTCGGAGGTCAAAACCTAAATCAACGTGTCTTTTGTTTCAGCGCTTGACACTAATTACTACATTACTTTTTATGGCACTGAATTACTTTTTTAGCACTGAATTACATTTTTGGCACTGAATTACAGTTTTTGCACTATTTGTAGCCAGTCTGAATAGAGTATTTTTCCATTTATATTATTCCATTTATTAATAGTTTAATTTATTTATTCAATCACCACATGTTTTCAACTGCAGCTAATGACATGGACATGTGTTTAAGATGTTAACCCACCTTGTTAAAGAGGTGTTTTGTGGGAACAGAGTTCTAGACTTGGACTCAAGTCGCAATTTTTATGACTTGTGACTTGACTTGGACTCAAATAAAATGACTTACGACTTAACTTGGACTTGCAAGAAATGACTTGTTAACAATTCTGTGTGGGAATACACCAGAATACTCGGGAAAAACTTGCGATTTCCGGCAAATCGTTGACCACGTCTCATTAAATGTTCTACTTCCAGAACTAAAATTGAACCCACAGTCCCATAGGTGAAATATGACAGCGTCACCGAAACCCCGCCAGGATGTTTGTAATGATTGTGTTTCCTTATTAGGCTGGATTAAGTTTAAAGATAATGGAAGTTTTGAAGAAGTATGATTGTGTAATCCTGTTTCACTGCTATACTGTGCATACACCATTCCAACTGATTTAGTTCCTATGTATAAAACTGTATGCTAACCAAATATTCCCGGGACATCATTTATGTAAGATATGGTTACTGGCCACTAGGCTAATGGCGGTTTATTGGTTAACTGAAAAAATATTTTCCTCTGGAGATCGATATATCGGTTTTTCTATGATTATCAGCATAGAAATAAACATGCATGCCAGAACATGCCAAAGAATAGATCTGTTTTAATGTAAACATAACTGTTAACATCGTTTTGGTTATCAGTTTTGGTTGTTTTTCAAAGCCATCTCAGTTTACTGGGCAGTACTGGTCACCATTCATAATACTCTATATTATATATATCCTAAGTGTATAATACTTTATATATCGCCAAGGTTGTTATATCGTGGTATGTTATATCATACTTTATTGTTTTATAGGTGCAACTATGAGAAGCCTACCCCTATTCAAGCTCAAGCTATGCCTTGTGTAATGTCGGGGCGAGATATGATAGGTGAGATACAGTTAAAAAAGGTGATGTCGTGCAACTGATAACTCAGAAAAATAGTTGAAGGGTTTTGTAGATGGAAACGAGTGGACATTTATATACTTTTATTGAACCTAACCCCTTTCCTGCCAGGGATCTAAAGTTGCATTTTATGCTTCTGTTCCTGGCTAGGTCTAATAAATTTATATAAATTTCCACTCGACAATTTCCATCTACATTACCCATCAACTGCCAAGTTACACTGTTACTGGAATCCAACTAAGCTAATTCAACTTTGAAATGTCATTTTGGATGTTATCAAAGCTGTGATAAGAGTTTATTAAACGAATCTTGCTTGGTTGATCGGATCAGCCTGGCTCCATATGAACAGCCCCCAAAACGTATAACTAAAGCTATCTGAAAGAAAGTTGGTGTAGTTCCAACGTCGATTGCTGTTATGTATTTGTTACTCAAATGATTGTATAATGAAGTATGTATGATTTCTCAGGTCACAAATTTTTCGTTGTTTTCATTGTAGGGATCGCTAAAACAGGAAGTGGTAAAACTTTAGCGTTTGTGATCCCAATGTTGCGTCATGTCTTGGATCAACCTAGTCTGGATAGAGATGATGGTCCCATAGGTATATTAGACAAATAAACTATGTTTACATGTATAAATACATGATAGAGCTATCTAGTCTCAGCGCCCCCTCTCTAGCTCAGCGCCCTCTCTAATAAGGTACCTGATTTCAGAGAGAAAAATATTTATCTTCCCCGCACTTTATTAAGCCCTTATTTGTTACTTCATGACAAAGTTAACAAAGAAATACATGTCTACTGCTGCTGTGATTTGTAGAATGTCCTGGAACTTGTATGTTTCCTATCTGCTATACCTTCTAATCAATACACCGCTCACCCTTTTAAACCCCCTAGCCCATTCTCCTATATACACCTCCCACTTCGCATCAGACGTGCATGGGCTTAATAGAAAATTTACGATAGCTTAGTTCAGGTTTAGCTGTATACAGCTCAGTTGACCCAGGTCCAGATCTCTACGAAAATATCTGACTTACGGAATCTTTATCACCAGCTATAATAATGACACCAACAAGAGAATTAGCACTACAGATTCACCGCGAGGCGAAGAAGTTTTGTAAACCACTTTCACTTCGAGTAACATGTGTGTATGGAGGAACTGGCATTAGTGAACAGGTGTGCATACTATTTTAGTGACTTTTAAACCTGGCATCCATTGTACAGGTAGTGGTATACTGGGGGTGGTATACAGCTATTTCAATTAAGGTTGTCCCCCGAGCAAAGCGGAAAAGTCGAATACGAGCGCGAAAGGAATGAATTTATTAGCGATTCTCAGCAGTCTTTCGCGCTCATATTCGACTTTTCCGCTTTGCTCGGGGGACAACCTTAATTGAAATAGCTGTATACGGATTATGCGACGTTTGCAGATAATAAGGGCCTTTGCTCGACACGTCGAAATGTGTTAATCTTTTTTTCAGTTAGTTTAGACACAAACAATGACAGTTTATTTCAGAAAACTATGTATACACTAGTATAACTGTCACCGATATTTTACATGTATATGTCACCATAATGGATTGATATACTCTTTTGTTTTGAAGATTGCGGAGCTGAAGAGAGGCGCCGAAATTATTGTATGTACACCAGGACGAATGATTGACATGCTCACTGCAAACAACGGTATGTGGGTTTAATTTGGCCCCCAGCACGCGCATGCATCGACGAAGAGTGTTAGGTACTAGTACTTGCAAAGTGGTTAGAACATGTGCCTCTCATCTCTGCTACTGTGCTTCAATACCTGCGTATAATAGACAGTTATGTCGTTAAACGTTCTTATTCGTCGCGTCGAAGCAGAATACTTCTATAGTTTAGCTCCACGAAACACTCCAGAATTCCTTCAGATACTCCAGTTTCCCTCCCTGTTCTCTCTCGAGCAAATAAAGGACGACCCTTAGTGGTTTAGATCAATATAAAAGAAACTGAGTGAACTGATGGAGCTGTCCATATATAAAGTTAGACTTAACCTCCGTTTATACACTTCCAATTTTTGCTGCGAATTTAGGTGCGATTTTCGTTTTCTGATAGATGTGAACGAATGGATGAGTTATAATGTTCAGGGTACGGTACATACAGTATATATATACTCAAGACATTCATAAGCCATCTATAAACATGCTTTCGCTGCTAGGGATGCAACTACCTGAAAAATAGAAGGAGAATTTCGACGTTTCGAGCGAAGGCTCTTCGTAGAAATCGCAGCAAAAGTTGCAAGTGTAAACAGGCCTTTGTTTTTTTTTTAGTTTGTATGTACACGGAAATTTAATTCATTTTTCTCTGGTGTTCGATTTCAGGTCGCGTCACAAACTGTCGCAGATGTACGTATATTGTCTTGGACGAAGCAGATAGGATGTTTGACATGGGGTTTGAACCGCAAGTAAGTTCTCATGCGTTTTCTCATTTTCATAAGGCGTGATAAACGAAAAAAAGTGTTGTGTTAAATGTTGGTCCAGATGTCTTCATATTCCTCCAAATATTTTCGCATTTACAGCGTATTTTCGTACTAGTTCAGATCTTTGTGGAAGCGGAATTAAGTTTTTATAATCTCATACATTCTCTTTTAAATATAACCAGTAATAACTTACGATCGAGGATAAGCTGCGAACTTGTGTAGATGATGCAACGACCTGAAAAGTATAGAGTGTTTGCACATGACGTCACAGCCGCCATGTTGGTGTTCAAATTTTAATTAGACTCTTTTGTCTGGAACACCAACATGGCCGCCATGGCTTTTGTTGAGTTGGTCCCTGGGGAATGAGTGCAAACGCTCTATAGCTGTTTTAAAGTTTGTTTTGACTAAATCCATCATATTGGTTTATAATTATCACGTGATCGCTTTTGTATTCGCTATTATAAAGCACTCCAGACCCACGCTACTAACTTCCAGACAAGGGGTTTTCGAAACGTCGAAAGTCTTTTTATATTTTTTGGGTAGGTGCATTATACACACCAGTTCGCAGTTAGTATTCTTTACTACTTGCACTGGCATTGAACGTTCAAGATCGAGGAAAGCCCATTGCGTTTTGGTCAGCATTATTACAATTTATGACAACATCGATATAAGAGCTAATCGTATTCTGTCCCTTACCCCAACCCTAGCTTTCCCTATTCTTAAAGCTTTATCCTTATTCTAAACTGCAACCCTTCTCCCTCTCAACTCAGATTGTTACTTACTGTAATGCTAATTTACGACGACATGGTTCATTGTTTTTATCTTAAATTTAGGTTAATAAGATTCTGGATTGTATTCGTCCTGACAGACAGACTGTGTTATTCTCTGCGACATTCCCGAGACAAATGGAGGCTTTGGCACGAAAAATCCTTACCAAACCTATCGAGGTACAGTACATAAAATTTACATGCAAAATCAAAATGCAAAACGAAAAGCATATTGCATTCCAAGTCCGCGGTAATCCTGCACGAATGGGAGAAAATTGGGCCTGACAAAAAATATCTTGTGGTTCCGGTTTCCCGACCGATCCTCTTTTTTTCTGCCGACCCTAATGTTGTTTTGGGTATGGTTGGGTTGCTTGCTTATACCTACCCGCCCTATTTTTGTCGTTGCTCGCATTATGATACAACGTGACGCCATTTGCGTCCGTTACCCCGCGGACATTGGCCATTGCTGGCCAATGTCAAGCAAAAGGAATTTTCAAAAAAATTATTTTCCGACCCACCTACCCTATTTTTCAGGAAATGAAACTGGACCCACATGATATCTTTTGTCAGACCTTGCATGAAAAATGTGGAACTTGTTTCACTGATGTACAAACGGATCTATTTTCTTACCCACTTATCTGAAAACTGAGACTGGATTGAGGATTCTTTTGAATTCATATAGAGCTCATTTTCAATAATGTAGCTCTCATCACGTAGACTTTATATAAATTAAATAATGTAGCTCTCATCACGTAGACTCTATATAAATTAAATAATGTAGCTCTCATCACGTAGACTTTATATAAATTAAATAATGTAGCTCTCATCACGTAGACTTTATATAAATTAAATAATGTAGCTCTCATCACGTAGACTCTATATAAATTAAATAATGTAGCTCTCGTCATGCACGTAGACCATAGAAATAATAGACATAGAATGCGTGCTCCTATCTCTTCTCAGTAAAAATTTTGTCTCCACAAAATGGCGGATTTATAAGGGCATTTTGGCTAGTCCCAGACTCCTGTGGCGTGGAATTTCGCGCGGTGCCGGGAGTGCGAATTGTTTTTTTCAATAAAGTTTGCAAAAACAATTCTATCCAGACTTGAAGTGGAAAAAAAGTGTTTTTAATGGAGAAAAACCCATTCCCGTGGGGTTTTTTACGAACAGCAATAGTTCTGAACAGAATATATAGAGAAATCGTCGTTTCAAAATACATTTTCAACGTTGTTGTGCAAGCCAAAACAAAACACGAAAAATCAAGACAAACTGAAACTCAATAGGTATGTTTTAAAAAATATATTTCAACTGTTTTATAATATAAATAGAGTTCAATAATCTTTTTAAACTTACACAACTACTTTTTATACTTTTGTATACGTTGCTTGAGCTTGAGGCAACGCTTTTGAAACCATATGTTTTCGACGATCATTTAGGCGATTTACAGTTTTAAATATCAACAACTAAATATTTTTGTTTCAAAAACATGAAAACACTTCGGTTAGATTGAAGAAAAACAAAACCCGACGAAGAATGAACTATCATCTCGTAATTTTATAAAGTATTAGCAAAACAGTTACGTTCAGAGCTTGCAAAAATGTTTTATGAGTAAGTTATATTTTATACGCGAAACTACACGAAAAAACTACTTGTTTTTTATACAAGGCTGCACGATTTTCACCGTTTTTGTAACGGCACATTTACTTTGAGCCTTTAAAGAACTTAATATTTCAAATTCTATCCCTAAACTACAAATACCAAACGTTTTGACGATGAAAACTTTATAGTTTTAGTTTTGTTTATA